TCATGCTTACATATGTTTTCTGTATGCTTAAACCTAATGAAAGTTTTTCTAAGTCATAGGCTCACTTTAAATCGTGTTCTAATGCTCTTTATGGAAATGTACTATGTCTTTACCTTGCTTCTCCTTTCTTAAATCCTATGTAGTACATTTTCATACTTAACATTTTACCGTTTACAAAGTAGTTGTTGCAAGTGAGCCTATACCAACATGTACCTACTTCTATCCCTAGGAGCCTTTCCCTAGCCAGGGATAGTGGTTACCTCTTGTTAGAAATGCTGTGTTGTGCATGGGCGCCCATGTTGCATCTTAATTATTTTACTTGAGAGCTAGACTTCGACTACGTGTAATATGACTATGATGTTTGGACAACTTGTGTTGTGAACATAAATTTTTTCATGTGTTAAAGATTTGATTCTGACAGTGTATGATAATTAACCTTTATAATTATTTGCGAGTGGGACACACGAGTAGTGTGTTTCCAAGTCCTGCATGGTTAACTAGGTTACACCGAGTCGATCATTGGTGACAGCATAGTTTAGCTTAATTAATTAGGTGGTTCATCACATTAGAATTTTAGAAGGAAGATGGCTAGGATCAATTTTTTCTCCTTCTTCACCTAGTATACAACCAAGATCAAGCCAACCTTTTGTTCATGAACACAAGACAATTGGTATCGAAGAACAATCAGCAATGGGGATAGGAGCTAGTAGTGTAAATGGTGCAACCATATATAATTAGTAGTAGGTGTTGAAGTTAGCAATCCTCTCCTTGAAAATCTCATGTTCTACTTAATGATGATGACATTGTTGTTGATTCTAGACTTCGCATACCAATTGAGCAAGTGATATGTTTTATTCCCAAGAATTATCTTTGCTCACTAATTAATTGTATTTTCATATTGCATCCTTCATTTCTTTCAAATGTTCAACTTGCATGTGTAGCTGTAGAATCATTTGCTAATGACGATGAGATATGGGAAGGAATCTAGATGGACTAAATCATCATTGATTAGGTACTTATTTTATACCGCATCATGTGCTCATCAAGTTTATTATATAATTAAGCATGGAATCGAGATTTCTGCTAATCAAGCATTTTATGTTCACTTGTGTGAACTTACATAAGCCAAGTTTGAGGTTGCTTAGGTGCTCATATAGTGGTCATATCATCATAGGAGTGGAGATGCACCAACTCCATCATTGAAGTCAAGTTTTAGGCATCTAAGTAGAGTTAGAGGGTGTTCAGTGTTAGTAGAGTCTTTAGATAGCTAGCAATTGCCAGCCAATAGTGATTGAGGGTTGGGGTGGGGTTGGGAGGGGGGGTTGTATTTGTTATTCTTCCCTATGATTTTTTTATGTATGGGGAAAACCTCTTGCTGCCCCTTCTAAAAAAGGATAGCCAACAATTTTGCCCATGCACAACCTTATTACAAGAACAAACATAGAACAAAATTCCAAACTAAACACGTCTCAAGTTGCTATCCATTGAAAAAAAAACGTGCCTCAAGTCTTGTGTTCTAAGTTCGTTGATTTCACTAGCGGCATGTTTGGTTGGGGGTAATTGAATGGAGGGAATGGAAGTTTGGAGGTAGGAGTTTAGAAATCTTTTGTTTGTTTTGTGAGAGTGAGAGTTTTGATGGGGAGGGGAATGAGAGTTTAGAGGGCCAACTTTCACCAATCAATTCCCTCGGAGAGGGGAGATAATTGGATGAGAATTATGCTCTTAATAAAACATAAATACATCCTCATTGTCCATCATGACTTATATCATATAATTTCCACTCAAACCTCCCATATCAAATAGGGGATATGAATTTCTTCTTCAACTCCCTCTCTTGTTTTCTTGGACGAACCAAAACAGACTACTGGAACTAAAAATTAAATTTTCACCTTAACTCTCTCCATCAACTCCCACCACTATTTCTCATGCCCCTTCCCATGTAGTAGTAGTTAACTTTAGCGTTTAGTGCCTTAACATTAACACACCTCAAACTCTTGTCTTACTTTTGTAAACTGTTCATCAAAAGAGAATATAAAGGTATAAAAGTCGATCCTGCAAAGATGAAGAAATTAAGTTAAAAACAGATTGAAACGCAGATTGAAACGTGTTTATGTACAGTTACACTACAAAAGATGGCCTCAAAGGTGTTTATGTACATCTCAAAGCCATGCACCGCTGGTCGAACATTCGAAGACGGCGACGGTACACATGCGGCGCGGGCGCAAAAGATGGCCTCAAATGCTCAATGGCTGGCCCTAGCCACGGCCACGACCACGACCACACAAAGACCCCAAAGAATTTGCCCACATGCCATCAAAGCCATGCATGCCCGTATGCTCTCCGCTTCTACGCCAAAGTGAATCGCATGGCTAATCGATCCCCGGCTTGCACCTCGGAGTTCAACGAACCCGATTGATCTCCGGGTCACCCTACGCTATATGGTGGCCAGAAGGGGCCGTGAAGGATGCGGTGTGTTCTAATCACTATCGAATGCACTTTGCGAGTCTTGCCGAGGATTTGCCGAGTGTATTTTATTGGGCAAACACTCGGCTGAGAATCCAGTGTTTCTACCGGAATCGGCAAATATGTATTTTGCTTAAGTTTGTCAAAATGTCTTTTTTATTTTTGCCGTAGTGCATTATCTCGGACAGAAAACACTTTCTTTGCAAAAGTGCAAACTCTACAAAGAATTTTGTCTAGTGCCTTTGTTTTGGCACTTTCGCAAAGAGGCAAAGTGCATTTTTTTTTCGGAAAAACAGTTTTCAAAGCAATTTATAGGCCCTAAATGAATTCAAATGAAAAACTTTTCAACTATAAAGTTGTATAACTTCTCAAGGCATACATAGTTTATTTTGGCCGAGTGTTTTTGATTAAAACGACAATAACGTTGTTCATAAAATCTACATCTCTCATATTAGTTTCATGAAAGTAGAAGAGAGATATATAAGATTTGTGAACAATGTTACTACCACTATGTCGGCCCCAAATGATCAAAATAAACTTTGTAGATCTGAGAAGTTATGAAATTTGTAGTTGGCAACATTTTGATTTAAAATCATCTTGTCACACCAAAAACAACGTTTGAATTTGAACCCCCTTGAATTTTTCAAAAGATCTCGGATGGAAAAACTTCCTAAATGAAAATTGTAGATCTCCAAAAGTTATGAAACTATGTAGTTGACAACTTTTCCATGCAAAACTACCTTGAATCTCTCAAATTTGAAATTCGATTTTTCAAACGACCTCGGATGGAAAAACCTCCTAAATGAAAATTGTAGATCTCGAAAAGTTATGAAAGTTTGTAGTTGACCACTTTTTGATTTGAATTCATTTAAGGCCTCACAAATTTAGTATAATATATGAGGATAGGTAGCGGAATCTAGACCTGTAGTGCGGTGGTAGAGCAAAGACACGCGAGGGAGATGTCATGAGTTGGCGCGTCCATGAAAAAAGCGCAAAAATGCCGACTCCCTCGGCCTGGTGGTGGCCTCCCGAATTTTTTTTTTGAAAAATTTTGCTATTATGTTTGGATTTTTTTTCCTGAGGATGCGAGTGCTTTTCCCAAGACTTTTCGAGAGAGGCTTTGCCGAGTGTCCGACAAAAGCACTCTTGCTTCGACAAAAAGATGTCTTATGTTGTATTTTAGTGTTACACCGACAAAGCTGCCATCCGAGTGCCCGGCACTCAAACGTAAACGACTGTATCCCGTAGTGAATTATATAGCTAGCTCGTACTACTACCTTCGTGACTTAGGCCCCCTTATGTGGCTTCACTTCACTAGTGAAGCCTCCATTAACGGCTCCCCGGTAGAGAGTCAAGCGGTTTTGGTAAACCGTTTGGCCCTCTCATGTTTTTAGGGGCCTGAGGATCCGAAGCACGTTTTAGGGGCATCGGTGGGGCCGTTTATTTTACCCGCTTTGTAGAAACGGCTCCAACGGCTCCTCGGTTTGGAGAAGCCCTGCCAAACGGGGCCTTAATTAGTTTGATGGACGCCAACGCCAGCGTAAGCTGCTTCAGTATATTTATAAAATTTCAATAATACAATATCCTCGCTGCTTTACGATTATTTTACGTATACATCTCTTTAATTTAACTCTACAAGAGGAATACGCCGTTTCTTCGTCTTGAAGAGTCGGGAGGGGGGGCTCGGCGAAGTGCGTGGTTTCGTCAATTCTCTCTAGAAAAATGGTTTCGTCAACTCTTGTGCTAAGAGCACAGCAAATTTTAAGAACTGGACTGCATATGTACAGGCTGTGCTGGACGATATGATTGACGAGTGATGACTTCTTCTGAGATAAACTCTCACTCTTTTGTGTTATACTATAAACATGTTTAGTGATAAACTTCATATTACACGAGAAGAAATTAAATATTGTACATATCCACCCGCCTTATATTAGCTTATCTAAACTACTTCTTCATCATGATTTGCCAGAAGGTCTATAAATTATTCTGAATGATTTTTCTCTTCATTGATCTGATGATGTGCCTCTGTCAATGCTTTAAGTATGCAAGATGATGAAGTTCGGTCAACTTACTTCCGAAAAATAAAGCCTGGTCAATGGGCTGCTGGACCCTAACATCATCCAAATTTGCGAAGGGTCGGAAAAGCAAGCACACTGCCTTTGACAATATGAAATAGATGGATCTTTTTCGTCGCAGACTTAGGTGATTGGATCAGAAGCGTTGGAGCTGATGATGTGTGGATCAAGGACTTGACAGTGCATTGCGTTGTGAGCTGATTTTTTTTATATTTACTACGGAATATAAAACGATAATGCTGGGTCAGGATGTCCTATCCGACTCCTCCTTGTTGGGCCTGTGGACAGCGGCCTAGTCAACCGCAGTGGTCCGTCCCGTGACTTTCCATCTGGACATTTCAACAGCCCGACTCTCTCATTCGGATTGTTCTGCCGCCTAAACACGTCTCTTCCGTTCCCCTCCGCCTCTAGGCCTCCACGGCTCCGCTCCTTGGTCTCTACCCGCGCAATGAACTCGTGATGCGCGCCGCCCTCCTTGCGGCATCGCTCCTGCTCCTGCTCGCCCGCCCAGACTCCACCTCATCACCGCCCACCACCACCGCGTACGACGAGCTCCGCCTCCGGGGCTTCCCGAGCGGCCTGCTCCCGGCCAACGCGTGTGCCTACACGCTCGATCCCGTCTCTGGGGACTCCGTCAACCTTCACTCCAGCTGCCGCATCGTGCTACCCGCGGGGAGCTACCTCGCCACCTTCAGCGACGCCTCATGAGTTGCCTCGATGATCGCCGCATCTCGGGCCTCGACGGCATCCGCGATCAGGGCCTTCTTCCGCTGGTGGTCCATCACGGGCATCAGCGACCTCCTTTCACTCTATGGCATCGAGCTTCGCGCCGGTGTCGAGCTCCACAATGACGAGCTCCATTCGTCCAAGCAGCAAGGTGACATTGCACAAAGTGAATGTTGCAAGTGTATGTTTCAAATGTTTCAGAGGTATGTTGCAAGGGTTTCATATGTATGTTGTAAAAGTAGATCGGGATGTTGCATATGTTGCATGGTTGTACACTTATGTTGCAAACGTTTGTTCCCAATGTTTCATATGTTTTTTAGACGTATGTTGCAAGTGTGTTTATTTGGATGTTGCATATATTTCACATATGTTGCAAGTGTATTTTATCTGGATGTTGCGTATGTGTTGTAATGTTTTTCAAGTGTTTTCATGTGTTTTTTACAAGTGTTTCAGATGCATGTTCCAAACATTTCATCTGTCTTCATACGTATATTGCAAGTGTTGTATCTGGATATTTCAAAAGTCAGGTGTTGCATCTCTCTCCTCATCTTGTGCTATCTCGTCTCGGTGTCTCCTCCTCTTCTCGATGCTGGTGATGTTCGGGCAACGTGGGCCCACGTGGGGGCAGGCAGCATGGGTGGGCGCAAGTCGTTCGAGTGGCGCGGAACCCTAGCAAGTGGGGCGTGCGGCACAAAGGAGCAGCGAGGGGAGCAGCGTTCGGAAGCGGGCCTAGGGTCGGACGTCCGGGCGCTAGCCTGTCCCAATATAAAATTTCAACCTCCACATCGTGAGATGCTTTAGTGAGCAAAACAACAAAGGTGATACAAGCAGCTAGTACATACTCCGTATATATTCGTTTCCTGAAGCTGTGAAGATGGAGAAGAGTCGTGTGATCCTGTAGAAATATATGAGTTGTTTTTCCTTTTCCTAAATTCAGCAAAACCATCTAAAAATTGACATAGAGCATCTAAAACGACATGACAGCATTGAACAATAGCTTGTGCGGATCAAGTGGTGCATTGGATGGAGGTAGTGAGGCTAATGATGCCAATGAGGAGCTAATTGATTCCTCCTATGTTTCATGTTTGTGAACTTTTATGTTCTGATGGGCTATGTCTTGGGAGGACCATGCCATTTTAACTCGAATTTAAATTTGAATTGTCATGTTTCAATTCAAGCAGTTAAACAATAGTCATTTGTATGAACTGGTAACATTTTTGTTTAAATTTATGTCGGATCAAAGAGATAGAATACACAGAGAGAGAGAGAAAAAATGAAGTAGGGACCCTAATTTGGAGCTACTTCTGGAGTTGAACTCAAATAACAAAACATTCAAAAGTAGAAGGAGCTCTCAAATAAAAAACGATGATCCTAATTTAGGGACTACTGCTGGAGTTTCTTTTGATCGACTGTTAACGAAACAGCAAAATGATCTTAGCACTTACTTTTTTTTAGTGGATCTTACAGCACTTACTTACGCATGTAACACTGGCCACGCTCGTGGAAAAAAAGGGTGTAGAATATGTGGGCTACTGGGTCCACGGCGCTTAATACAAGCCCATAACGTACGCAGTTACAGCCCATACGAACAATTACCAAGCAAGCCCAAATAATAACACGCTAGCTTCGCGGTGAAGGCGGTCTCGGGGTCACAACTCCCAACCCAATCCAGCCCAGCAACCAACGACTCCCACCGGCCGTTTTCACTTCTCCAGTTCCCCTTGCCACCATTCCCCACCACCGCATAGATCGCCGCCGGTGAGGGCGACCACTGATGGCTCCGGCCGTGGCCGGGGCGGCGTCGGTGGCGATGAGCCAGGCACTGTGGGACCGCTAGATCCTCGACGCCGTGGGCACCGGCGCCGCGGCGCTCTCGCTGGCGGGCTCCTCCTTCATCGTGCTCTGCTACCTCCTCTTCCGCGAGCTCCGCAAGTTCTCCTTCAAGCTCGTCTTCTACCTAGCCGTCTCGGTGAGTGGCCTGCTCGAATCTCGGTGCTCTTCAGGGTTTTTGGGTCTGAGCCGCTAGTTGTGCGATGTACCGCGGTTGTTATTTCAAATTAGAAGCTCGTGGTGCGATCTGTGCGCTGTGTTTCATTAATTTGCGTACCAATTGTGCGCATTTGGTGGTTCATATTCTTAGTTTTAGAAGAGGGGTGTGTTACTTTTTTGCATATTAGTTGAATTAGTTCTCGAGAATCTGGTATTCTGGTGCTATCAGTAAGTAGGGATCTGGATCTTCAGAAATGTGCATACAATCGTCAATTTTCACCTACGAGGTAAATTTCAACAGTTGTGTGATAGTCTTAGTCTAGTGTTCGTCATAGCACATTTTGCACTTGGATTTTGTTTGAAATACATTCAAATTCCAGTAGTTAAAGTATGATATTTAAGGCCATATGAGTCTACGGTTTGTTGCAGCAGCACATGTGCTAATTAGATAGAGCTAGATCACTAGATGGGAGCATATTTTTTCATATATATAGTTCATAGTTCATTCTTAAATATGGAAACAGCTGCTGTCATATTTTTTGTTTTGTTGAACATTGATACCATTGGGCATGATGAGCACCTACTTATCTAGTTTATCTAGTTCATCACTTGACAACTAGTAGTTTGCTTTTGAGAAAAATGATATTACATGTCTAGCTGCTTAGCTGACACATGGAAACATTAGCTGAAGCTTGGTTTGTTCATTATTACTATTGACCTAGCTGTTGCATGTTTTCTGATAACTTTGTCCTGAATTGCAGGATATGTTTTGCAGCTTATTCACTATACTGGGGTATGTTGTATTTCTTCTGCTGCACACAAATACTTCCTCAGTTTCATGCTTAGTGTTAATTTACTTTTGCTATTAACAGCCTGCCAGAATCACTGTGCTTATTATTCAAATCATGGCCAAGTAATTTGAACCATTAATAACCTTGTATTCTGCTTACTAAGAAATATTAATGCCAGGATTAAAACAGAATAATTGTTTTTGTTTAAGAAAATAACACCAGACTATTCTTTCTCCCATTTCTCTTTGCATCTGAATGCATAGTTTGGTTATGTACTCGTGGTAAAACATTTCTTAACCATGTTTCCTTATGTTGCAGGGGGCCATCGAATGCATTTTACTGCTTTGCACATGACTACAGTGCCCATTTCTTCTGTGTGGCTTCTTTTCTATGGACAACCACCATAGCATTCACTCTGCATCGCACAGTTGTAAAACACAAAACTGATGTTGAAGAATTTGGATCTATTTTCCACTTATATGTGTGGAGTATGCAAACTTTCGATTACATATTTGCCTTTGTTTGAACTTATATGTTCCAAATTAAGTAATCTGACAAGTTAGATAACAGTTTCTGGAGAGACCTTGTGTTGAAAAAAATAACAATTTTGTATCCATATGAATCAATGTTCTTGACAAAAGCTAAAACTGTCCACACCATTTATATATGTTTGATGTATTATGTTGCCTCTGTTTGCTAACACATAGGTTATCATATTCCTTTAGAAATTATTTAGACGTGATGCATGTACCTATTTTCATCAGATTCTTCTGTTACTTTTTGGGGCCTTCTATGCCTTGTAAGAAGCTAAGCTTGCAAGTTCCAATTCATTTGCCTGTCCATAATCTGCACCCATGTCTATAACTGTTGAATTTATTTAATTGTTAATATGTTTAGTATCTCAGGCTACAGATTCTGTCCAATTTGAGTGTCCCATCCCTGGATATTTTGTTGCAGATCAGCATGCTCAAATGGAACTTTGTTTTCATTATTGTTGCCTTTATCTGCATCTTTCATGTATATGTTTCTTTTAATTTTATAGTTTGGTTGCATCATCTTATCTTGGGACCAATATGTAGCTGTTCTCTCTTATGTCTGTTTAGAAGCTTTTATCTGATGTACTGTAGGTAGGCATACTCCATTTTTAGCAATAGATCACTATTTTAATGACTTACTTTGGAAGCCTTGTGTCAGTATGTCACTGTGTTAGCTTTCAAGTTTTCATATAAAAACTAAGGCTACCTACATATTGTGGGCATAATTATCATAAAGGGGCTTGAGTAAGAGGCCTCCACATTGCTTCAATTTTTTTCTCCTGTCCCCATAAGTAATTAGCTCTGAATGAGTGAATGGGAGGGCTGGAGGTCTAACCACTCTTGTGCTTTCTTACGGTAATGGGTGCATAAAATAGATTTGTGACTTCAATCCTTCATTCCTTCATTATCATAAGCAATACTCCCTTTGCCATCTAGCTTTCTTCCAAATGCACCAATTATAAGTCCATGATAACTCTAGTGCACCTTTTTGCTTTATTCTTCCATGCTTACTCCTACTTAAATGCACACATCCATTTATTTTCCTATATAGGCTATGAAGTTATGCATATAAGTGTTTTGTTTGATTGACACACTACTATATTCCATGGTTTACTTCTCTTCTTTTTTTGTGTGTGGATATTTTGATGTTTCCTGTTTTATCTAGGGCCTATTCAATTCCATTGCTTATGGGCTAAACTCTTCTGTGCGCCAAGCTATTTCAGAAAGAATCGACATGTAAGTTTTAATCTGCAACTTAATCGCAACCATACGTTTCTTCATCGCTATGCATTATTTACTGTAAGCATTCTACACCCTGTTCGCTTGATCGTATCAGCCATGCTTATCAGCCATGATATAGTGTTTTTCTCTCACAACAAAACAGCATCAGCTGGCTTATAAACCACAGAAACGATCAATCGAACAGGGTAGTTATGCCACTACTCAGAAAATAATGTGTAGCTATAAAGAATTTTATTTCCTAAACTTTCCAGGTTCCTACCTGAGAGAATCAAAAGGAGCCTCCCTACTTTGTCAAGATTGAGGAGTCAACAGGAAAATGAACTGACTTCTCTTATCGTCGAGGGTAACTGATATGTAATGCAATCTATGAATTTTCCATGCATACAAAGTTTTTTTTTTATCTTTTTGTTCTTCGATTTCCATGCATACAACATCACTGTAGGAGCAGTTGGTTAGCATTGTTGATCGTCCGGTACACGTCGAGTTGGTTTCGCTGTGTCCATTGTTGATTGTCTTAACACGAGACCTGGGTTTGGGGTTCATAGTTCCGGCCAAAGTATATAGGAGGCTAGAATAGGAACAGTCGGTAGATACACTGATATTCATCTGTAGTTAGGTAAGCAGAATTTGTTTGTTCAGATGTACGAGTATAATCACTTCTGTACAATGCACATCTAGCGCTACACGATTTGCTTTTTTTCAGTTTTTCTGCTTTTGCCCCTTATTTATTTGTTCTGGTACGTCAGGATGGTTATCTTCCTTCTCTATATGTGAGGGAATTTTTAGTGCTTTTGAGTTTTGAGAACTATACTTCATGCTTGATCTTTCGCCGTAACATTCAAATTGCTCGTTGTAATCGGTGATGGCCAGGAGCACTCGTGGTCAATAGAGATAGTTGTACACTTGTACGCAGCATCTCCAACGACGTCTCAGCTTTGTCATCTCCAGAGATGTCGCGCCTGCTTTTGAGTCAGCGTGGAGAATCTCTTCCACGACAACATGGGCCGCATCATGGCTCTCCCCCTCCAGGGCGATTTTCACAGAACTGTCAGAGGCGATCTGTCTGCCTCAGCCTATTGCACAACACATGGTGCGCGCAAACAACGATAGCTTGGAGGTATGCAAACCTCACTAAACAATAGCCCTAAACCTAGAGCAAGCGCTAAAGAGGCCTCTAACTAGTCTAAGGACTAACCCTACACTTTTGTTAATCGTTTAATCTTCTCTTAATCGCATATGGTGGCTAGTTCGAGTATAAAGTAATGAGCCTCAACTCAACTATGGCTTCCACAATCTCTGACACACTTCAAAATGTCGTGTATGGGGGCATATATAGCCCAACCAACTCAACTAGCTATTAGAAACTGTTTGAGCACTTCGGTGCTCACCGGAGTTCTCTGTCGCTGCTCTGAGTGCATTTCTTTAGGTCCATTTGTCCGAGTATTTACGATCTCCGATATTTCTCTCAAACTTTATCTTAGTTCAAGTTCACCTCTTGCATTAGACTAAGTAGCTTGTATATACTAGTAAAAAATATTAGTTCTAATAGTTATGTTGTCAATCGATCACAAAATCAGGTTCATCAAAAAACAAAATTAGGTTCATATTTCTTACACCAGCCATTTGTAGCACCACTGACCACCCTGTCTCCATCAGATAATTCTACCTAGGCCTTGTTTAGATTGCAAGTTTTTTCACTCTCTCTCCATCACATCAAATCTTTAGACATATGCATAGAGTATTAAATGTAGATAAAAAAAATAACTAATTACACAGTTTGATTGTAAATTACGAGACGAATCTTTTGAGCCTAGTTAAACCATAATTGAACAATAATTATCAAATACAAACGAAAGTGCTACAGTGCCAAATACTAATTTCTAGCCCCAATCTAAACAAGGCATTAAGGGAAGCAGCGTCCGATGTCTCCATCAGCTATTTCTATTTAAGCAAGCCTAGGCCGTGGTAACCGAGCATTATAGCTCCCAATCATTCACTCCCCAGTCTCCTCTCATCACTGCTCCAGCTAGCTGGCTGCCTTCAGCTCGGAGGTGACAGCAGCAGCTCGCTTTGCTCCCTTCCGTGTACACATGGCGGCCGACCTCCCAGTCCCAGTCCCAGAGGTGGCAATGGCGGCCTTGTACATCGCTCTCGGCTGCCGCGAAGTCCTGAAGCCGGTCCTCCATTTCCTGGACGCGGCCACCGCGCGCAGCCCTGTCCTCGACATGGCCGTCGCCGCCATCCTCCTCACCCTTCCGACGGCCTACCTCTTCGTCGTCGGCGTCATCCTCCCCGTCGCCCTCCACATCACGTTGCAGCCGGCTGCGGTCGTCTTCTCCCGAGCGGGTTTCTGGTTGTCCGTTGCTCTGGGTTTCGCGCTTCTGCTTCTCTTTATTACTGTGCCCCTCGTGGCCTTTCTGTTCCTCACTGCCGATGGCGCGTAAGGAAATGCTTGTTTTGGTGAGTGATTGGCCGGGTCCAGATATATATAGCTTAGAACCTGCTAGACTCCTGGCTCAATCCCACGAAACAAAACAGCTAAAAAGGGCAAAACGTAGTTACCCGGTGCTAGTACTACTACATGAGCAAATAAAGTATGTCATGCCTTGGTTTTACAAAGGCTATGGCAGCTGATGCAAGATTCCGCTTTGTGATGGGACGCGATATTCTCTGGCCGTCACTAGGCGGAAGCAGACGTGTGGATCATTCTTCATTCTGGTGGGCTGCAGCGAACAGGCGGCCGGCTGGTTCCACACAGTTGTAAGTTAGTACTATGTATAGTTTCTTTGTTTGAACTTATTTACAAGCTTGAAGCTTCCCTACTTGGCCTGGCCGTCCGGAGGGAAAAAAAAACGAAGGGCGTGACAGGTTTCTTCTTGGTTGCTAGAAAGTGAAGTTGTAATCTTCTAAAAGGGGTATAGGTCTGTAATGAAGTTGTCCAATGCAATGCAAGTAAATCTCTCTGTTGCGAGCTACTGTTCAATGCTACTACACGTGTTGTGCTTTGAAATGGATTTCAAAAGACTCAAAGGGTTCTTTTCTCGAGCTCTTTTATCATCTTGCCACACAGGTGCTCAATCATATGGCGTTTGCACTACATAACTGCAACATATGTTCTTTAGCTTTTGCGTAACCATAGTTATGCGTGCAGAAGAGTAGTTCCTTTCCACATTTCATTTTATATTTGTCTTATTAGACGGGTATAGTGGACTGCTCTTTCTTTTTTGGTCTTAGTGCATTGGTGTCTTTCTTATCAAAAGCAATCTGAAAGGAGTTTATAAGAGAGTTTGATTTGGTTGTAGTTCTTTTCCCCTTTTCATATTTATTTGAAGGAACACAACTATAGAAAAGTGTCATGTTTGGATCCCTAAACTAAAGTTTTCCAAATAGATGATCTAAAGTTAGATATAAATTTTAGCTAAACCCTCCAAAACACTTTAGACCATTAGACCACAAAAATGAACGAAAGTGGTCTAAAGTTCTGATTCCTCTTGCCAAAAGATGAGTTTGTCCTTGCGAAATATCTCGGTCCTCCCGGTTCTTGCACAGAAAAGCTTTAAAACACTACCGCTCCAGGCTTCTTCCCTGCCCAAGCTCCCGACGACCCTACCGCCGCCTGCTACACCCGCCATGCCCTGGCTATTCCACCGCCGCCCGGCCAAGCCACTACCCCCCATCCCACCACCGCTGGCCATCCCATCATCGCCACCCATGAAGAAGCAACACCTCGCCTCACCTTGAAGAAGCCGCACCATCGTGCCCTTACCAAGCCTTCCTCTCATGGATCTCATCAACGAGGCCTCCATGCGACCCCAAGATCCCCTCCCCTATGATATCTTATCCCAAATCGATCCCGTGCCCTCCAATCGAGATGGGAGCTTTTTCAGTCTTGACCTCAACTTGGCAGCTCTTGATTTCCCGTATATGGGATTGTACCAAGAAATCCTCAGATCGACGTCGGTTGAAGATAGAAGCAGTGGTGGCCGTGGTTCTCACGACGCCCGTGGTGGTAGAGGCAGCCGTGGCGGCTCTGACAGGTGTGAAGGAACTGGACCTACTGCTGGCAGAGGCAAGCGTGGTGGCTGTTGCGACGTTGGAGGAATTGCCACTTGTAGCGGCGGTCATGGTGGCTGTGGCGGTGTTGCTAGGCGTGGCGGGCGTGCTAGAGCCGTGCCGCTTGCTACTTCTGGCAAAATCTCAGTGAGTGGTGAGATAGAGGTAGCAATGGCCTAATCCCTTTCTGAGCTCCTCGCACGGCTTGGACACCTAACAATGGTGGGCGTGGAGGCTCTCGATCTGACGTCGCCACTATACGCTACCAAATTTTATTATAATCGTATCCACAATCTAATTTTTTTTTAGAGCTCAAGGGTGGCCCCCGGCTTTTATATTGCAAAGACGAAACCGTTAAGCTCCTTACAACATTCAGAGTTCAGAACTCCAACAGAACGCAGAAGGCCTCAACAGACAAAACAAACGCACAGTATAGCAGAACTAACTACTGACATCATTACATCCTCCAAGCTTCCGCAAGACTCACAAAGCTAATCCAGTTTCTTTCACGAGCCATCCTTTCCTGATCAACTCCATTTGTCAGCAGAGCTTTAACTTTATCAGATACGGGTGCCGTTCGCTGGTCTGAGGCGACCAGCCAGCCGGCTGGTTCCCTCTCACGCGTTACTGTTCACCAAACCAGCCGAATAGTGTTTTTCTCTTACAACAAACCAGCCAGAACAGTGTTTTTCAGCCAAGTTTCAGACCAGCGAACGGGGCCACTATATTGATCTTCCAGTCGTTCCCAGATTGATATAAGATGCGATCCCATTCATCATTCACCTGACTAAGCCAGGTACTCGGTGAGGTCTTGTGGCGAAGTTTTTCAGTTTGTCCAGGTGATCCAGAAATTCTGGGACTTTCTCCTTCGGACACAGAGAACTCCAATTATGCAGCATTGCTGTTACCTTCACTATCAGCACTCGCACATCTACCCAGAGTGTTCCCTGAAAACACAGGCTGTTTCTTAGTTTCCAAAGCCCCCACACGACAGCAGCACAAAAAATATTTTCCACTATGAATTTCCTATTACTAATCCACATAGTCCCAACAGAAATAAAGTCTGTGCCAACTTGTCTATTTAAGATCTCAGAAAGAATAGACCAAAGCTGTTTAGCTACTACACAGTTAAAAAATAAGTGATTGATAGTTTCAGCCTCTGAGCAAAATAAACAAGTAGGATCGTTGATTTTCTTCCTGATACTCAAATTATCCCTAGTCAGAATCTTGTTTTTAGATAACAACCACGGGAAGAAATGGACTCTAGGTGGGACCTTCAGTGCCCAAATAGCAGGAACATACACATGAGAAATACCCCTAAAATTAAAGACTTTATATAAGGACTGTGAAGAGTATACACCATGAGAATTAAACTGTCATATTAGTGAATCTTCCTCATCAGTAAAGCTAATAGTAGAAGCTAACTGGACCACTTCTAACGAAAGATTGTATAATCTATCATCGACACATCTTCTAAAAGTGCATTTCAAATCAATACCATCCCACAGGGATGCAACCGTAGCATCCTTCTCATTAATTAACACGTAGATCTCCCAATATTGAATAGCTAGACTAGAAGTACCTAACCAATTATCTTCCCAAAACTTGCATTTCTTGCCATTTCCTATATGCCATCTATATCTCATTTTTGCCTCAGAAGCAGCTCTCATCATACCTTTAAAGAACTCAGAGGCTTCAGAGGAGGAGTTATAAAAGATGTTAGGTATTAGTATTGTACTTGAAGTTTAAAAACTGTCTCTACATCTTATCACCATCTAGATTATACCTTTTAACCCAAGAAGTTAAGAGACACAAATTTAAATCTCTCAAGTTAGGAACACCTAGGCCTCCATACTCTTTCATCATATTGACACTCTCCCAGTTGGCCAAATGAATTTTACGGGATGTGGTGCTATCATCCCATAAGCAATTACCGAGATGAGAGTGTAGAACTCTAATGGCCCACTTAGGAAATTTAATAAACGAGAGTAAGTATACAGGAATACTAGCTAAACAAGACTTAATGAGAACTAGTTTTCCTGCGTAGGACAACAACCTACCTCTCCAACCAGCCATTTTCTTTAACATTTTATCAACTAGAGGCTGAATGTCCTCCCTACTAAGCTTCTCATAATGCAAAGGGACCCCTAAATATTTAATAGGTAAGGTACCAACCGGACGAGAACAAATGAGCAAGATTGTGAACAGCTTCAGGTTCAACATTCATCGGAATTAACTCACTTTTATGAAAATTGTTCCTCATACCAGACAACTGTTCAAACCAAATGAGGATACTTTTTAGGTTCCTAGTGTATTCCTCCTCAATTCTAGAAAAAAGAATGGTGTCATTTGCATACTGCAGAGACACAATACCGCCTACCATAAAGTTTTCTGCTATCCCTTTAATAATACCTTTCTCAGCCCTCTTCTGGAGCATTTTTGTAAGAACATCACCTACTAGATTAAAAAGCAAGGGAGAGATAGGATCACTCTGCCTTAACCCTTTTCCAGGTTTGAAAAAACTACTTTCTTCGCCATTAAGGTTGACTCCCACAGAGCCTCCAATGACTAAATGTCTAATCCAATCAATGCAAGTGTTACTGAAACATCTAGTTCTAAGGATTTCAAACAAAAAATCCCAAGAAACTTTGTCGTATGCCTTCTCATAGTCTAATTTCAGGATTAAACCAGGTTCACCTGTTTTATTAAGACTATGTACTAATTCATGAGCAATCACAACACTCTCTAAAATATATCTACCTTGAATAAAGGCACTTTGTTGAGGAGAAATTAATCTATTCATAATCTTTCCTAATCTAAGAGTTAACACTTTGGAAAACACCTTAAAACTGCAGTTAATGAGACTGATAGGTCTAAAATTTTTCATGGATCTAGCTTCATCTACCTTAGGGATGAGGAAAATCATAGCAAAGAGGTGCACCATAGGCATAGCAACTCCAAACCGCTTCCTTAATTTCTCCTTCAGAGAAAGGAGCATCCACAATCTAAAATTTAATAATTGTATCTACAAAATAGATCATAATCTATATTATTATAATCGTATCCCCAATCCAAATTTTAATAATTGAAGGTATTCCAAAGGTCATAATAAGTGCAAAAATGCACACATGATAATGAGTTCCGGCCGCATTGTCAAAAGAAGAAAAAAGGGAGAGGATGCAGCACAAACAAAATGCATCGGCCATTGATTGACCTGTTTGTTTAACTTGATCACTGCTTAAAGGCCAGCATCTTTGGGAGAAGATAAAAAGGGAACATCTATGTATCACTATCAGAAACATAACTGTCGTCGAGTCACCGGGAGTGTTCAGGCGTTTTTTCTAGTGTGGTGGAGCCCTCGAGCCGAGGAGGAGCTGCGTGGGCGTGCGAC